AAGCTCTCATCTTAAACTGCACATGATATTTAAGTACACACATTGGCATAAAAAGATAGGAATAGTTATTCCTATTTCTAGTATTTTAGAACACATATTTTTACAGATCAACATCCAATTATCCACTAAAATAGATTAACCAAACAGGAAATCTTTTACAAAGTACTTTGATTTTGAAACCCATATCCTAAATTCTTTCACAGTAGATTTACTGTAATCTAATGGGTTTTGCTTAGGATAAAATTAGACCTAGTCTGCGTTATTTTTGCTCAAATAGGTGGCAACGAAACGTGGCTAGAAGCATGCAGAATGCTGAGAGTAGAAAACCTAAGGTATCATATGCAATATGCTATTTTGTAGTTAATATAAAAAACAAAAAAATTCCCCTGGAAGCTCTCATATTAGCTAATTTACTAACATAAATTTAGTTCCTTCAAATCTCAAACTGCTAACCTAAGTTAAGTATACAATAGAGCAATGCTTTTTTCTTATCTCCTCATAAGAGTAGTATAAAAAAGTATGCAAGCTACTCTAAATGCAATTTGTCTCCATGTTTTCACATTTAAAATTATAAACTGGATATATCTTAAAATCAATGGGTATAATTAATAAGATAGCATTTGGTTTTGTTGTGTTTCACCTCCTCGACCCCAACAAACAGCTATTACTGATAGTAAGGCTTACAATTTGACAACTTTTAATTTAGAAAAAAATGGGACAATATATTTTTCAAAAAGAAAACAAGGCAATGTTATTGCATGCATTTTCCTGGTAGCAAGAGAAACTGATTTATTATGGGGGAGGCAGAAGCTGCTTGCTGAGAGCCAGGCGGGGTATGTAATTTGCATAGAAGAGGGAGCAGATTGTAGATGCCCTGACCTGTCAACCACAGGTAGGGCCTGGGAGATAATGGGTCCCCGAATACAAAGCTCCATCTTGATCCAGACACACACACACAACACCGAGAGGCCAGATGGATTAAATGAGAGACAAAAACGCTGGCTTCTGCCATCTTCGCAGGAAGAACCTAAGTGTTACAGAAGATGACAGATACCAGATACCACATGGATCCCGCCCAGCCTCCTGGGCCCATCACTGTGCCCAGGCCATGGTTTCAACACTGCGAGAAGAGGCAAGTCTGCTCGGAGCCATGAAATATAGTCACTGGGGAGGTGTTCCACCCAACTGACAAGAGTGATCAACCGTGCCTGTGCCTAAGCATCTCACTTGTAAAGAGGAAAAGGGCCACGTGAGAGCAGAAAGCAGCAGATCGGAGCAGGACGGGTGACCCTCTGTCCTCACCACCCAGCCTCGGCTCCCTCCTTCGCAACTTTTCAATGACAAGCCACTCTCCATCCCAACGTTTCCAGGGTGCACTGGCGGCATCCTTACAAGAAGTCCTGCACAACATAAAGATCAGCTGCTCGGACAGTGGTCCTTTTGAGAGCCATGTTCAATAGCGATACAGCATTTTCATTTCAACTGGTGGCTGTAACTGAGCCATTCCACAGTGTGAGAAAGCACCCTCTGTCACAGAGTCCCACAGCACATGGACAACAGCAGGACACTAGACACGCAGCGAGGGACAGTGCCTGCAAAGGCAAGGATGCGGGAGCACAGCCAGAAACACAAGTGTGGATTCTGGGAAGCCACGGCGACAGAAAGTATGTGGACCACGCCACGAGAATCCACAAGCCAGACTCTGAAAAGGATGGTGTTTAGGCAACTAAAGGAAGAGCTAGCTGAGCCAGCCTTCCTTCTCACAAGTGGAGCCATAAAACATCTTTTTGAGGCTAGTCATACGTAAAGGTGACAGTCTAATGACCACCAGCAGTAACAGCAGTCTTGACAGATTTTTTCTTTTTAAGAAAAATAAAGTTTGCTGAGGCATTGAAGGTCTAGTACATGCAGGTCCAGTATGGAATACAAACAGGAATAGCAAAATGTCACCTCCATCTGACTTACTGCATACTGAAACTCTCTCTCTCTCTCTTGCTCTCCTACACTCACAGCGGTGCTAGTTAAGCAAGAGCTCACTTATTGATGTAACAAATATTCATTGAATCCTTTGATATACCAAGCCCTGTGCTTGGTTATGCAGGAATAAAACAGACGTGGTGGTGTCTTCCTCCGTGGACCTTACAGGAGGTGAGAGAGGCAAGGATGGGATCAGATCAGTGGTAAGGGGGTACACAGAGTTGTGGAATGTTAAAACCAGAGAGGACCTCAGAAATCATCTAAACCATCACTTTTCAAACTTTTTCTGAAAAACTGTAAACTACCCTTTTTTAAAATTAAAATTTACAAAGAACCACGATGTAGTAAAAGTGATTTAAAAAACCCACAACTGCTGAGGCAGAGGAGTGGCAACAGCGAGGTGCGGGGTAAGGCTGGTGGCCTTTGCAGAATCCCACTCGCTCAGCCTCCCATTAGCTTCCTGACTCCCCCAAAACCCCTCCTGACAGACGCCACAATCACAATTGAAAATCAATGACCTGGAGGTCCAAATCTTCAGTTTTACAAATGAAGAAATTAAAGCTCAAGGATTTTAACTACTCTGACCAAAGTCTCAAATTGGTTAGAAGAATGTGGACTAGGAAGCAAGTTATCTGAATTCCAGTTCAGTGCTCACTCCACTCTATTAATACAACTTCGACAACTCAAATTGCAAAAATTTGGAATTTACAATAGTTGCCTTTCTTTTGCCATATCCAAAGTTCAGCAGACTGGTCTGAAAACAAAATAAAATGAAATGAAGACTTTGGAAAGCACGGCACTTCGTGGTTGTAGGTGCACACATCAGTGTCTGCCAGCTCCTGTCCAGAACTTCACCTTTGGTTCACAAACTGTAATTTGCCTGTTTAATTGTGTTTTTTGCCTTGATGACAGCACAATGAATAAGTTTTAATATAATATACTTAAATCTGTTATTTTCGATTTAAAAAGGAAACTATACTCATACAGAGGTAAATTTAGAAGTCCACACTGGTGGAGAACTCTGGAGGCTGTCCCCTCTCGAGTTAAGAACATGCCTTGTGTTGATGTGCATTCCATCCCCTGTTGCGTCTGAAATGAGTGACATATGTGAAAAAACTGCATTTTATATAAGGGAATTTAAATTATGTTTTAACCAGAACAAGAAAAAAGTTCAGAAGCATTATAAATTGTAGATGCTTAAAGAAACAAATATTGAGAGGCCAAAGTACTATTATCTCTTATTAAATATGCACCCAGGACAGACAGAGGCAAGATCTGTAAGTAATAGGGCTCCTACCCTATCAGGGCTGCACAAGGAATCCTGGTTAGGACGGAAGTAACCATCAAATACAATGGAAAATACTCAAGAAGGTTGAAAGCTCATATGACTCAGGATCCTGGAGAATAGGCTTGGCAGCAAAAATAGGAAATATGTTCTTCATCTGGCAAGAATAGGATGCATATATTTGAAATCACTGGCTGGTGAAAAAACTGCCCAGATTTAGATGGAGAATTGGGGGGTGGGTAGCAATCTTCTCCCTAAGCTTTGCTTTGTATGTTACATTATGGCAGAAATATTCATCTTTCCAAACACATTATATAATTTTGCTTTAAATCTCCTCAGAATGTGATTTTTATTTAAAACTCTTCTTCCGGGGCCGGCCCCGTGGCTTAGCGGTTAAGTGCGTGCGCTCTGCTGCCGGCGGCCCGGGTTCGGATCCCGGGTGCGCACCGAGGCACCACTCCTCCAGCCATGCTGAGGCCGCGTCCCACATACAGCAACTAGAAGGATGTGCAGCTATGACAGACAACTATGTACTGGGGCTTTGGGGGAAAAATAAATAAATAAAAAAAAACAAAATAAAACTCTTCTTCCCCACCACAATCTTTGTTAGGTATATGTGATAGAAGCAGTCTACCCAAAAGTTAAATTGCAAGTAATCTACAATCCACTTAAATTACGTTTGGTCTCTGCTTTAACTTCGGGCAATGGGGTCTCCCACTTTTCTTAAACCAGTTAGATGGGTAGAGTCACAGTTGAGGTTAAAACACTAAAACGTAAATTAGTAGTTACAGACAATGAAAGCTAGCAACAATTTTTACTAGAAGGGCTCCTAAGACCTTTCTGTCTAAGTAAATACACTAGTAGAGTTTTTTCCTTATTTTCAAATTGAAAGGTTACTTTTGTACCATACATGTTTAACTATAAAGATAACTCCCTGAAGCATACATTTGTACATATTTATAAATGTTACTTTTTTTCAATATACAATGGAAAACATATTGTTCATTTATATAACCTTTGACTTTCAAGAGTCTTGGCTTAACATATTTTGCAATTTGGAAATATACACACATATACAAACATGTCTTGCTAGCTCAAGGAAAGCAAGAGTAATTCATAAAAACAAATCAAAAATATGTTTTCAAAATCATATATTATTACATATATTCATTGGAGACATCACATTATAGACACAACCACATAGCAGTAGTTTTCAAACATTTTAGTCTCAGAATACCTTCACACTCCTAAAAATTGTTCAGGACTAGAAATAAATTTTTATATGGATTGTATCTATCATATTTACTGAATTAAAAGGGAGAAAGTTTAAAAATATTAATTACTTTATAAAAAACAAATTTTATGTTAACAGAAATTACATTTTCACTAAAAATAACTGTATTTTCCAAAAACAATTAGTGAGAACAATGGTACTGTTTTATATTTTAGAAAATCTTTTTAATATCCAGCTAAAAAGACAGATTCTTCTATCTCTCTGCATTCAGTCTAGTGCAATATCACATGACATGTTGCCTCTAGAAAACCCCACTGTCTACTTGTGAAAGAAAGAGAGTAAAAAGGTAAATAACATCTTATTACTATTATGAAAACAGTTTAGACCTCACAGCTCCCTGTGAAGGGTATCGGGAACCCCCAGGGTTCCCCGGAGCACACTTTAAAAACTGCTGCTTTACAGAGCTGTTTGTAACTGCTATTCTTTCAGACATTATCAACTTACACGTCTCCATGCCTTCATCATCGTCATCCATTGAAGGTTTATCATAAGACTTGTCGATGGCAGCTCTGAAGCTCTCATTGCATCCCCTGCCCCTGATTATCCGTGGCCGTGGGCGGTGGAAAGGAATATCCCCATTCAAAGTCACCTCAGCGACAGCTGTCTGCAGACTCTCTAACGAGCTTGACTTTTTCAGACCGAGGGAGGGCCCCACGTCTCTGCTGGGCGAACCTTGGAGGTTTACAAAAACAAGATGTTAGAATTAGTGGCGAAAATTACCTACCTGGATATCTACGAATTGTGGGAAACATCAGGGACACAGACAAATTATTTGCTCAATGATGAGTTCTGGAATGCAGATAGAAAAGGTATAAAAAGTAAGTAAAGCAACTAATTTTTATTTTTCCCAAATTTATATTAAATTTGGTCTATTTTCTCTATTTTCATTAGGAAAAACTCCAAGTTACTAGTTTCCATTTTTAGCTCAACAGATGAAATTTTTGTCAAATCATTTGCTCCAAGTTATGTAAATAATCCAAAAGAAACAGAATAACCCAGAAGTTCATCTGAAAAGCAGGAATGACAAGAAGGCTAAGGTGGGCAACCAACAGCAAGCTTTTCAACTTAACTGAAATCATTTTTTGGCAGTTTAAAGTTCTTTACAACGGGCCGGCCCCGTGGCTTAGCGGTTAAGTGCGTGCGCTCCGCTACTGGTGGCCCGGGTTCGGATCCCGGGTGTGCACCAAGGCACCACTTCTCCGGCCACGCTGAGGCCGCGTCCCACATACAGCAACTAGAAGGATGTGCAGCTATGACATACGACTATCTACCGGGGCTTTGGGGGAAAAAAATAAATAAATGAAAAAATTTAAAATTCTTTACAACAGAAGTTAAACTTTAATATCCATGAGCGTCATCATCCCTTCCTCATTATAGTGCAGGTTCCCACAAATGGGTAATGAAAAGAGCACGGAAGACTAGGTGTCATCAGGACAATCGGCACAATCAGGGCACCAGGTAGAAACCTAATTCTGGGGAATATGAACATTCTATGCAAAGAGCAATACAAAATTTGAATAGAAGTAAATTACATGAGGGCTCTCGAGAGAGAGAATGAAAGGAGAGACTAAGGAGCTGGACATAAGTACTTATGCCTCTAGGCCTGGGAATAATACCTGCTTGAGAAACAAGTGTGAACAGAAGGAAGACAACTTAACAATTACCATGAAAATTCCAGTAGGATGACAGGGGAGAATTCAGGGAATTAAAAAATTGGCTCTATTTCTTGAGGATCTAGGGCAGGAAGGCCTGAGATATACTCAGAGTACCAAGCTTTAGAAGGCAATCAAAACGGATTTCTTTCACCAGGTAAGACGGCCTCATCCATCACGGTCTGACCCGGCACTCAGAGGCAGACTAATACAGCCTCTAGGTGACTGAAACTCCAGCTCTGTACCACCACCTGTGCAATCTGGGCTACAGAACCAGTTCTTCACTTCTACTGTGAAAAAGACAGGTGCAAAAAATGGGAGGGTAGGAGAGCCTAGGTAGCTTATCTCTACACGGGGTCATCAGCCCATACATTGATCAATAATTAAGGAGGAGCCTTGTCTGTTATCACCCAAAAGACAAATAGCTATGACATGGGCTTTCCATGGCTCAGAATATAAAGCAGAATAAAAATTAAATTGAGAGTCAAAACAAGAATTTCCTTTTTAAGATTCATTTACATTACATCTTTCACCTAATTTTCACAATGGGGTAGCAGTTTTAAGTTAGAATAAATATGTTAAAAATGTAACATACGGAAAAAGGCAGACAGGTGATTCTAATGAAGAAATAATATTCCATAAATTATTGTGCTTGGGTGAGAATGATGATTTATTTAACTTTCTCAGTGTAGGTTTGTACATACTTCATTATTTTATAACAAAAATTCACATGAAATTTTCTTTCCAAGATGATCACTCTTACTTTTTCTCTTGAGAGCACTATAATTTTTGACAAGTTCATGTTCTAGACACCCATAAAAGTCATGTCACAGGGAGGAAAGTGAATTTTGTTTTAAAGAACTAAAAACAAGTTGGGCCGGCCCTGTGGCTTAGCGGTTAAGTGCGTGCGCTCCACAGCTGGCGGCCCGGGTTCGGATCCTGGGCGTGCACTGATGCACCACTTCTCCGGCCATGCTGAGGCCGCGTCCCACATGCAGCAGCTAGAAGAATGTGCAGCTATGACATACAACTATCTACTGGGGCTTTGGGGGGAAAAATAAATAAAGAAATAAAATTAAAAAAAAAAAAGAATTAAAAAAAAGAAGTAGAGGAATTAAAAAAAATGTGAAAAGATCATTCCTGGACAAGGACATTTATTTTTATATGTCTTAGAATTAGTAGTGGGAAGATCTTTTCCTGAGTAAATCAGACCTATCAATTTTTATAACTCACCAGCTGCATTTGGGTTCTCTAAACATTTTTAAGGCAAATATTTGGTGCTTTCTTGGGTTCATAAAGGACCTGTATATGAATATATGTATGTATGTGTGTATATCTATCTCTATCTCCAATAAAGATTTCATGCTTCCAGTAAAGATTATCATAAAAACATCATTTATGTATATTAAGATTTTCTTTATGAAAGTCAGCTAAGATTTGACTTAATGTACTCAGAGCACAAAAGACTTTAATTTCAGAAATGGCATGAGTATTTATTAAAATAAATGTATGTGTATATATACTTGTATATAAGTATTTATATATGTATTTATTAAAGTACACAAACAGGCAAATCGGGGAAGAAAAACAATGATGAAAGTATCAGTAAATAAGCAATAGATACTTTGTAAGAGTAATTCAGAGCTTACCTACCTATTCTTTTCTCTAAATTCAGAATACCGTAGTGTAGCATTTTGGCAAAATGTTGATAATTATCAATGGCGAGTACTGGGTATATGGGAGGTCAATGAACTACTCTCTCTACATTTATGTACAGTTGAAAATTTTCAAGATAAAAAGTTATACAAAAAGTCAGAATCTATAATTTGTGAATCTATAGCAAGGATCAGCAAACACAGGCCAAATCTGGAAAATTTTACTGGAACCCAGCCATGCCCACTTGTTTATCTATATTCTATGGCTGCCTTCATGCTACATCAGAATTCAGTCATTGCTACAGGGACTGCTTGGCCTGCCAGGGCTGCAGTATTTACTAACTGGTCCTTTGCAGAAAGAGCTTGCGGACCCTTGATCTGTAATATGGATATCGTACATTTAAGTCTTGTACTTGTCAAAGAAACTCTAACAAAGGGTTGGTTAAGAAATATATTAAGATTCCCAAATGAGGGTTACTGAGTTCCCTAACATTATAAACTCAGCACTTACCAGTAACGAGTATAGAAAAAGTCTTTCTCTATGTAAAGTATGGGGGAAAGATTATTTAGCTTTTATTTATACAAAAAATTAATATCATTTAACTTTAAAATAATATTTTAAAGTTCTTTATAGAAATCTTCTAGGCCATTAGGCTACTTTGCTTATTTTTTTATATTCAAGGATTAAACTATTAGAAACCAATCCTCTTCTTATTCCTGTTCTCTCTTTTCTTCTGGAAAGTAAATTTACCCCCAAAATATCACACAAGATCCCTAAATCCAGGAATAAAGGGGGAAATCATAATCATACTATTTTCCCTATGTCTATTTTTCAACTCCTACCTCCTAATATCCCTCTTGCCAAAAAAAAGTAGAGGACATCTTTTGCAAGGACAAAGGGAAATAGAATTCAACTTTCACTATGAAAGGCTTATGGCTAGACAGATGATCTATGCTAAAATGCCACTACGACTCTACCAAAAACCTTTGGACTAAACTGTAAAATCATGATAATCTTAACAATTCAAGTGAAGAAAGAAAAATAACTGAATATCTGTTTGCTAATATCGGAGGATGGAGAGGATCTAGCTTAGATATTTTATTCACATAGATTTAAAACCAATTGACCAAAAAGTACTTTGGCGTCTCTGTAATAATTTTTTGTCCCAAGTTTTTCCAATTTAATTCAGTAGGATAGAGTGTACACATTGAAACAAAAATGCTCTTTTTATCTCGGATCTAACATTTTAAAACAGTATAAAAACACATGATTCAATTAGATTATAAAATGTGCTTTCTCATCATGAAAATTATTTGTTTTCTGTGCAAATCTGGATATCAGTATGATTTTTTAAAATCACAATAAATTGTTTTCCTTTTAGTAGTAGTGAGCTGGTTAAATTAAATATTTTCCTTACTTTACGCAATTGACATAGTATATAAAGTCATGTTCTTTAACCTGAGCAGTTCACTTTGGATCTTATGAACATTAACTTGGATAGGGACTACCTCTTTAAAAGTACTGAATACTATTAACTGCAAGAACTAATTACTAATTTACATATGCGAACTATCAAATAATGTTTTTCTTTAGCCCTGTTTCAGAATTTCAATGAATTTTATGTTTGATAAGAGAAATAACTACTTAATAAGGGCTGAGGCTATAGTTAATTGCCTTGCACTACAGTTAATCCTATGATTTATTGGATGTAATTTTTACAATCCATCTTTTAGTCTACAGAACGTGAAAACTCCAACCATGTCCACAATAATCTCTACATATGTATGTGGGATACATATTTTTCAAGCAGGCTAAAACTAATTACTACTACAGGTTGAAAAGGTGAATTGAAGCTAATTAGTGCTAAGTGGTGTAACTACCTCATATTGGATCTAGAATAATTAAAACACTATTCCAAACTTATAATAATAAATCATAAATGCTCAATTGTACAAAGCGCATTACTTTAATTACACATAAAGACTTTCCTTTGATTATTTTCATAAAATAACATAAAACATAAAATCTACTATAATGCAAAACCTAGTTCCATATAATCCACTGTTTCTAAGGAAAGAAAAAAAAAATCCTTTAAAAAAGTTTCACGAAGTTAAGATAAGGAGCCATATGCATTAGATAGTCTAATCCAATCTCAGGTAACTATGAGCTAATTCTTGTATCCAAAAAAGAACTAAACTTTTCTGAGTGACTAATGATAGCAACACTGGACATTATTCTTCAGTGAAAAATATTTATATTTGTGCTATTATCCTTCAAATCAAAATCACTTGGAGAATCATTTTTGGATGTTAACCCAGGCATCAAATAGATGACTTAAAAACTTAAGAGTCTACCAAAAGAGATCATGTTTTCAGGATTTTCATTTTCTTTTAGTTGTGACAAAACGTTCCCACACAAATACAATTAAGAAAATCTAGGTTATTTTAGCATTTTGAAGCACTAAATTATATTCCATTTAGTACGTACTATACTGATAAATGTCTTCTAACAGAAAATTTTCCTTTTCTTGTACAATTTGATTTCCTACAATGAAAACACCCCTGCAGGACTGTAATACTTATGTTTACGTGCAATATGATTGGCATCTCTGTAATTATGATAAGCTCCTGGGACCGCAGTTTCTATAGCAACAGTCTAACTGTCCGTTCTTACCTGCCTTCTGGTCATCCACTGTATTGAGTTTAGTCTCGTCAGCTACTGTTAAAAGGTAAATGTATATGGTTAGCCCAGTTAGTCCCCACAGCCCCACATGCTTCAACCATTCCCAGATCTTTTCAGTTAGGTGATAATTCTTAAGTAATATTTCATGCAAATAATATGAAACATCAAGCAAACATTCATAATCAAAAAAAGGGGAAAAAAAGCAGTGTCTCCATGCAATATGCCGGTCCTTTCATTTCATAGACACGTGTGTTATTTATATGTTAGCATATCGTAATTAGCCAAAGCAACGCATCTTCAAATTTTTCTTTTATGCATATGATAAATTAATCTTTTAGTCTTGAAGTACAAACAGCCACCAGAAAATAGCATAATTAAGTTACAGTTGATTAACAAAGGTTTTTTAAATCATTTGATCAGTTTATAGGTTTAATTAATTATTTTACTTTTTGGGGGGTTTTGGTGGATTTGGATTTAAAAAGAGACACTACCTGATTGGTGTTTGATTGAACAACTATGGTTATTTTCCTCCTCTCATTTGCTTCCAAATACTTTCTACAATAAATATTCTCTCAAATTATTCCTTCCATGAAATGCCTTAATTATCAACACATAAGAGTTTCTATTAAATAAACCTTAAAGAATAGCAATGAAAGGAAGATAACATGAAGTAACCAGATTCTAGACATGGATTGAGATAATGATTTCTCTCCAAAACTTTTTCTTCTAGTTCAAGGATCCCACAGACAACCAAATACTCTTTCAATGAAATTGGTTTTAAACACCTAAAGAATTAAAACATTTCATTTTCTCAAATAAAGATACATGAATATAGCATGATATGCACATGTTTGTTTCTTTTCTCATCAGAAAACATATATATTAACATATTGCACACTATGTAAACATGTCACTTATGAGAAATATGGTTATCTCAAACTCAGAGAAAAACTAATTTTTGCCAAATTGTCACATTTCACATTTATTTTCTCTATTGCTCAAAGTAAACAGACATGTGTTTGGGACCATAAATTTTAATCTGAAAGCATCTAAACCTTATTTAGATAAAGATTCATGGAGATTGTACTCACTACCTAAATCCATGCTTTTTGATTTTCGCGTTTTAACAAAATCCAATTGACTGGCATCTGAAAATTGCTTTGTGCGTTTTTCTGACATACTCTGTCGTCCAAATCCTTCTCGTTGAAAAGCAAGAACAGGATCAACATCCGGACTCAAAGAGCTGGTGTGAAGAGAAAGACAAAAAATATTTATTAAAAATAGAAGACATCCAATTTAGGAAAGTTCATATATACCTGTGTGTATGAATGTGTGTATATGTATATTCCTCAGAAATATTTAAACTAAATAACACAGAGTCCATTTAAAAAAAGCTGTGACTGTACAGGAGATGATGAGAAAATACAACATTAATTTACGTTTAGAGTTAATTCTTTCTCCACGTGAGTTCTCTCCTCTGTTTCCCTCTCTCACATCCCTCACTCTATTCAACAATGCGTCATTATTTCTAAGTGATTATCAAAAATAAGCCTGATAGCTTTTAGACATTGAAAGGATTGAATATTTGCAGAAACATTTCATATATTAATACAAATATTGGCAGCAAACAAGTGACTATATGAATTGCAATCGAATAGAAGGTTTAAAAAGGGTATGTTCTGGTCTTCTTATATATCCTTTATCTTGTGTTTCAGAAAAGAAAAAAGAACACCTTCGTGGCATGTAGTTTCATGAGGATGTAGTTTCTCTGCAATACTTAAGTGAGAAGAAATCAATTCAACAAATCTTTATTAGAACCTATTCTGATTAAGCTGTTGTACTAGGTACCAATGTCAAAATAATAAATAAAAAAAGACTCCGTTCTCTATGAGTTCCTAAGAAAAATACTAAACCAGTAGTATAAAGCAGATGCGGTGCATGCATGGATGAGAGAATAAACAGTATTCAAGGGAGTCAGGAAAAGCATGACGAAGACTAGATGACATTTGGTTTGGGTGACACCAACACAGTGGCTCAAGCAGAGATGATGAAGCATTTGGCAAATCATCGGTAACAGGATACAGTTGGAAGTGTTCTCCCAACAGAAGTGGCTGTGGAGACATGGAATCACTCCTATTTGTAAAAACCTGTGAATACTTTAAAAAGCACTACCAGGCTTTCCGAGCAGTTTATACAATGAAAATGGTTTTTCTCTGTGCTGGGCACATTGAGTAAATAAACAGCTCTTGTATCAGGGCCGAACTACCTTACCTATCTGGCCAGGTAACAGCTAACGAAACATCTTGGAATGTGAGGGGGCTACTTCCACTACGTGAGTTGAGTTTATGAAAGCCTTCCTTATGCTTCTGATGGAAGCAAGCTTCTCTAACCCATTATGGCCTGATGAGCATTACCATCCACACTGGTAAAAGGATAGTGGTCTGGTTTGAATCATCAGAAATTTAGTGTAGGGCCGGCCCTGTGGCTTGGTGGTTAAGTGCGCGCGCTGCGATGCTGGTGGCCCGGGTTCGGATCCCGGGTGCGCATCGAGGCACCACTTCTCCGTTCATCCTGAGGCCGAGTCCCGCATACAGCAACTAGAAGGATGTGCAGCTACGACATACAACTATCCACTGGGGCTTTGGGGGGAAAAAATAAAATAAATAAAATCAAAAAAAAAAAAGAAATTTAGTGTAATTTACTGCACATGAAAGGATAGTTGGCTCATAGAGAAGAGCTGAACGAAAAACTGTGAAAAGGAGACATCAAGGAAAATGCTCTGCCATCGAGTTAAGTGACCTGAAATGTTTTGTGTCCATATGTCTTAATATGCTCAATAAAGAGAAGAGTTGCCTCACCCATCTTACAAGGCCAGTGAGAGAACACAGGGCATAAGGGGGAAGCCCCTTGTAAACTACAAACCACTATGCAAAATAAGTTGTTATGACCCAAAAAAGACTTTCTATCTCAAATTATCAAAGCAATGCAAATTATGATCATGGAAATATGGTCCTTAAAAGCCACACAAAGGAACTGAACCATCCTTCTCAATTTTTTTCCACCAAGCACAGAGCAGGGGCCCTAGGATGAGGCAAGGTAGGTGCCTAGAGCTAAGAATTTGAGGAAATTCCCACTCTCCGAGTCATGCAAGCTCAGGGTCAACCCCTGAGAATGAGTGTCTCCTGCCATTCCGCACCCTGCCTAGCTTGCCTCACCCCAGTCCTGGCCCAGTACTGAGAAAAAAGAAGATGTACCCCACAGGGATGGGAGGTTAGCCCAAGGCAAGAATAAATTTTTTTTTTGTACAACACTATGTTATGTCCTAATAAATGTTATTTTGTGTGCAATCTACACTAAATCTTTTCATTTTTAATATATCATATTTCTTCTGTGAAACCTTAAAGAAATTTGATGTTCCAGGAAGAAGCAGGGTCATGTTTATCTTGAAGCCTTAGGTGTCCCTTCACATATTACTATGCTTATATACTATCTATGTGTGTGTGTATATATATAACATATATAACACATAATTATATATTGCTTAAATATATATACACTTGTATATTATGCTTACATAGTAGTATTCACATACTACTATGCTTACTATACTATGCTTATAATTTCCAAAGCACATACATCTCAATTCAAAAGCACGGTCCTAGAAATGAAAAATTAAAACCCATATGATGAGAACCATGACCCAATTTTGCAGCATCAAGCTCTAAATAATATATTTTCAATAAGTCTTTTATCTATTGAAAGTTGACCACTTCAAGCATTCTGCACATGCTCATCAACTCTTTGTATCATAGAATACTTTAAAACCTGAACTCTAGTAAAGCATCAGATGACTGGACAGAATGAATTTGAAATAGATTTTTAATAGAAATTATTGGTGAAAGATTTTTCAAAGAAATGTAAAATTGTTGCTGCTCATGTTACCTGAAAACCATATATTGGCATATTTTTAAAACTAATTTTACATCTGCTGAAATCATGTTGTCACTAAGATTAGAATCTACTGTTTTACATTTTTTCCCCTTAAAAACATTGTTAGTATTCCCTAAATCAATTAAAGATTGAAAAAAGTATATTCTATTAGTTAACAAATTAAAAGTTGAGCCATTTGACATATTTAGCCTTCTAAAATTGTGCAGTGAACTGTAAACATACACAATTTAAAATGTCAAATGAGTTTGTGAGTTAATAAGAGTCCTAAAATAACGAAATAATCTTAAACTATGACATAATTAATTCTTCCCTATCAATATACCCATTAAACTAATTTCAGACACAGTAAACAGTACACTAGAATATTTAACAAGTTAGAGTGCAGGACTGACAGCTGATTCTTTAAAGAATGTAACCATATCCTGACCCTAGTGTTATTAAAATTCCAGTTATTAATCCCATCTTATTGCCCTTTTGTTTTCATAACATTTTCATCAAGGATTAGGGAGATATTGTCAGGCTGGAAAAGCTTACATTTTCTGCTGTGATTCAGAACAGCTGCTATTCTTGTTTAGATAACCCTTCATTCATATTCTTTTCCTTGCCCCCCAATCCCCACAGCAAAATCACACAAGTCTTCACCATTTTATGAATCCCCTTAGGGAAATTAACGCCACAATCTACGCCTGCTGGTTATTTATTTATTTCCACCAGTACAGTGCCCTGTAAAGCCCCAACAGATCCACTCCTACGACTGACCACCTGCACAGTTCTCATCACGGTGGACATTCCCAGGCTTCCATCCCTAAGATGGGTACTGCAAAGATCCAATCCTTACTTTCTCTGTGTTGCTTTCACTTTCAGGAAGAGAGAGAAACTGCAGCAGTGAATGTAACAGCGTCTGTGAATTTCAAATGGGTTTTCACATTATATTATAGTTGAACCTCTACGTTGAATCATAAAACTCATTCAAAGATAAGCTACTATCAAGCAGGCTTAAGTGTAGCTGTGCTTTTAAATCTTGTGTTTTCAATAAGACAATTAAAGAGAAAAGAAAAAAGCTAGAGATGGACTTTTCTAGGGCCCCCAAAACAGGTGAGATTATTCCAAGAGAACACCTGCAGAACTAACAGATAAACGTGTTGTGTTTTTGTGTGTCCATGTGAGGAGTGGGGGAAGAGGACAGGGGAGTGGCTTACTTGAAGATCATCACTAACATGTGAACACAAATAAACGCCCGTACCCTGGACGACTCCTACCTAATATTTAATGTTGATACAAGTCTGGGGAAGACTAGGAAATAGACATGGTTAAGTGGTGAAGGAATAATGCCATTTAACAAATAACATTTGTTGTAACAAATAACATTTAAAGATAATTTTGCTGATGTATGCATAAAAGACCCCAGAGAAAGGGCAATAAGAAAATTCTGGTATAATGCTCACATGGTTTGTGTTAATTATCGCTACAACCTTACAAGGTCATCCCTAGGAAAGACTTTCCTTCTGCTTATTGATGTACATAATTACTAGGCACGCAAATCACATTCAAGTGCTACACGTTGGCTCAATAATAGCAAATGCTTTCTTCTATTTTGAAAGATACAGTAGAAAAAATAGCAATAGACTGCTCCCAAAGCCGTGATGTTGGAAGCAAGTATAAAGCATTTCAAATAGTATAGTTATAGCACTCTAAAAAGAAAACCTTTAAAAGGCCTTCTCCCACTCCCAGACCATATCAACTATTAACGTGGCCAAAGTCATTTAATTGTTACAAACTCTCAGTCACCTTGGGGATCAGCTTACACATTATTTAATAGAAATCAATTCATCAAGTTAACACATATGTAAAATAATTAACAATAAAACAATTGAGTAGGGTTTTTTTGTTTAGTGGCAGTTTTGTTGTTGTGTTGGCTAAATTATTAACTACACACTGGAAAGGCTACCAATTGGGTAAGTTTATGGGGTTGGGGAGAATCTTTTATTAAAAGAGTGATAATTGAGTATAAAAAACATGAAAACACACTGCTATAAAAAAAAACTGAGTAACTGTGCTCAGTGACAGACCACTTAAACATAAAATAAAGCGTGATTGCAATGAACTGATGTTTCCTAAACCTGGAGTGCGATCTTACCACTCTGCTGAATCGCTGATTGCAGCCTTAACCCACGTGCCAGTCTCCGTCGTCACGAACCCCACATCATCATGGGAGCTGGAAGATGACTGGTCAGAGAGATGCGGAGGAAGCACTGGCAACCTGTCATCTTCTATGATGACAGTGTCATCTTGGGGCATATTCACTGTGGGGGACAGCTGGTATTTACCTGTCCAGTGAAAAAAGAGAAAGAGAAATTCTAGACATCGACCTAAGGGTTATATGCATTAATGTTCATATTTTGCTACATTAGAAAAAGTCTCAATTTCCAAGCATCTACTCAACCTGGTGGAACAAAATACAAGCAAGCAAATTTATTTTTCATAAATGAGCGTCAGATGGAAACCTCGAGTCTCTTCCCTCCTCTCACACTGCAACTATGTAGCTATGGGCACAGTATGCAATTTCTCTGGTTTTATGTTTCCTAAAGCCAGAGATGATCTCCCAAATGTCTTCCAATGTGAAAACGCTATCTAGATTCTAAGTTGTGCAAGTCCTTCGAAAAATTTTGCCAGGATATTTAGAGGGAAGTCCTGCAGACTTACATCAGTCATTCACGTGGGGCACCTATCATGTGGCAGGTACTATAAGAAAGACAATCTCTGCCATTACAGAGCTCACACCCTCCTGAAGGAGACAGACGTATAAGAAGTGCTAATTGGTTGGTGATGTGAGTGAAGGCATTCACGAATGCTGGTAACTGCCTGGGGAGCGGAGGCAGAGGATGCTGGGGATCTTAACAAAAGGGAACAGCAGAGTTGGGTTCTGAATGATGAATATGGTCTGTTCTGGTAGAAGAAATGATGACACTGACTTTAAACACTGGCAACAACATCATTACATGCATGATGGAGAAAAGCCCACGGTGCATTCAGGTGACATTTCAAAGACAAATACGCCCAGAATCAAGGCCTGGGGGAGATAGCAGGAGTGATTACGAAGAGAAAAGATAGTGTCTGACTGTCCAGAGGTTTTCAGGCCGTGACAGGGAAGCCTGTAAATTTTGATTTATTCAATTAGGACATAGTGCTCTTGGTAAGGAAAGACCCACAGCTGTCTAGACTGATCAGTTTCTTTCAGGAAAATCTGCTCAGGTTCATGGACCAGCATGACAGGTGTTTATATTTTACAATCTTTCTTGAGACAAAATTATGCTTCAAGGCCCTGAATCCTCTAAGAAAAAGCTGGGGGCCAAAGGATGCCATCTTCTTCCCCAGCACGCCTACAGTTCTTCTGGCTTCCCCCCAAATCTTCTGCCATACTTCTTCTGAGCAAGAACTCGTGGACAAGGCTCCGGCCCATGCGGATACCTTGTGAGAGGCCCACTCACAGAAACACACACACGGTCTGAGGTAGGCCCGCCAGCCTGCCTCTCCCAGCCACACGAGGAGAACTGATCATTCTTGTCACCTTACAGTAGAGTGGACAAACTCTCATTTCCAGTCCAATATCCACATCTGTTAAGTCAGCCACACTGGGTCCAAATAAAAAGGATTGATGCACTTTCCCAACACCACCACCGTTTTACACGGGGTGCACTTTTCCTTTATTACATGTTATTTGTTAAAATAACACAACTGCAATATGTAGGGAGTTTATTAACATTATGACATCAGTGTTAAGATCTAATTTTAAAAATAAACATTATCAGAATGTGTAAATGATAATTTTTGTTTTAACACTATTGTGGAAATTTTGGGATGGCATACATAGGTCTGAAAGATTTTTTTTACATATATGTTATTCTACACACGTCAACAAAGGACCAAAAATTAGGTTGTTATAAATCTTTTCAGGACAACCCACAAAAGTAAATTACTATTTAGCATCAACTACTCTATTTAGAAATAGTACATGCTCACTGAAACCTCTACTCAGCATTTTACTAAGAAAAACACTATTTTGATTTGAAGTGCATCCATTTTGACAAACTGAAAACTAGCAACTTTTTACGAATGCTCATGATAAAAATGTAAATCAAATTTAATACTTCATCGTTTCCCTTTCCTGAATTCAAATCACTGGTTTATTCCTACTCGAGTTTTAGGATATTAGTATGGAAAGATAGAAATCTGTTGAATAAAACAACACTGATAAATAAGGTCAGACATCCGAGCACTATTACCAAAGAAATACTTCCTTCTTGAGACATACTTCTATTCCCCAAAAAGTGTACAGAATGACAAACCAGGGTTATCCCTGACTAACAGTTCACCACTGACAAGGCACATGTCACAGTGTTAAGTGCCAAATCCTCACACAGACAAAACTTATTGGAAGGAAACATTATGGTGTAATTATTGTGCACTCATTTTTAAATGCAAAAATGAAAACTCTTGGATTTACACAATATGTTCTGAGAGACAGCCTAATAAGCAACATGGAACACTGAATGGTTCTTCATATGAAAATCCTTTTTTATAATACTTTGTTTTGAGTAGAAATATTGTACCTTTAGTGATCCAAAACTTTATACATAAATAAATGGCAAGAAATTTCCCTAATAGTAAGACAACAATTTAGCATTTTTCTCTCACCCATGATCATGGAGGCTAATATTTCAAAAGATTTGAGAGTTCATATTTTCCATCAGTTTTCCACTTCTTAACATGCTTGCCAGGAATACAGTTTTGGGATCTGGCTCCGGGAATATATTGGGGGTAATGGACAACTAAATTATCAAAATACATTTTCTACCAAACTCTACCTAGACAATACCTCTTACTTATGTTTGCTGGTACTTGGTATGCCATATACGTGAAACCTTCCAAGGGTGACCTGAGAAGCCTTTGGTCTGTTTTTTTTTTTTTTTTTTTTTGTGAGGAGATCAGCCCTGTGCTAACATCCGCCAATCCTCTTTTTTTGCCGAGGAAGATGACCCTGGGCTAACATCCGTGCCCATCCTCCTCCACTTTATATGGGACGCCGCCACAGCATGGCTTGCCAAAGCAGTGCGTCGGTGCGCGCCCGGGATCCGAACCAGCGAACCCCGGGCAGCTGCAGCGGAGCGCGCGCACCCAACCGCTTGCGCCACCGGGCCGGCCCCATGGTGTTTTTTGATGAATCAACTTTCCTCTTTCCTCAACTAGTTAACAAACTACAAACTAAGATTTAAGCCAGTCAGTATCTTGTAGAGAAGTGAAACAATAAGATACAGAATGATTGTTTACTAAACATTTATTCATTGGTACATTTACAAAGAAGGCAACACCAGGAGTGACACTAGAAACAGATGAAACTAGGAAAAGTTTGCCAGTGATTTGAGTCACAATAAAAACAACATTAATGTTCTCTTTTTCGATGTTGAATTTCCAAAAATATGAAAGTATTCTGAACATAATTATTTTTTAAACTCACCAAAAACACATGAATATAAAAACTACTGAGATTAAATTCTAAAATGGATACAACAGATTTTGGTTTTGCTTTAAAGAGAAAAATTCTTTCGATGAAAAACCTAGAAAAAATGTAAGCTTCCATGCTCTCAAATATCATCCTGTGATGTATTTTACATAGGGAACATGTTGATTAAACTAGCTATGCCTATTATTGTTATTGTTATTGTTGTTATTATTAGTTAAGACAGTCCAGCATTTTGTAAAATATTTTTGAGGCTTTTAAAAGGAAGAAATCCCATGTAGGCTCACTACAGGTTCTGTTTGATGAATGTCCAGGATTACTCTTTTAAAACCCATGATAGTGGAAAGTCAGCCAATACAGATGACATTTGGAGAAATCTTGCCTTTGGTCACAACTCTGGCTGACCCCACCATTAGCCAAGATCCATCAGGTTTGAGTAGTGTAGGACTCATGACTCAGAAAAATATACATCGTCATTTTGGTTCAGAAACAAAGAAACTTTGCGGCTTCAGACTTGTCACTTAATTTCTTGGGTCCTTAATTCCCCTGAACAGAAGATAAGTAGGCTGGAGTATTTGTAAGGTTGTTTCAAAGATTAACTTCTTTGGATTTTTAGATCACAGTGGTTGCCAGAATGGAACAGATTCTGGAGACAGTCTAATGCTTTTTGCTTAAAGTTGTGGATATTTATAAATTGATGTTAATAAAGAATGAATGTCATGAATGTCACTAACACTTACTGTGTGATCTGAGCATTTCCCAGAGAGGGCTATTTTTAGAAATAGAAAATAGCCAAGAACAACATAAAACAAAAGTCATCGTGGGATCTTGGGACTTTGTTCCTTTATCTGTTAAGTGGGAAAGCGTGGCTGATGACATCTCACATCCTTCCAATTTCAACATCTCTTCCTTTTTTGGTCTATTTTCTAGAAGTTTCTCTCCTGGGATGTGTTCCCACAGAAATGAGTCAGAAAGCCTCAAAGCTCCTTTCGGTCTGGAGTCCGACATGAGGAATATTCTATGTGAAAATTCACCCTGCCTGCATAAAATTAATCATTTCTTAATGCAATCAGATGGAATTTCAATACAAAATTATTTTTGAATCACAGCAGATCAAGAAGTAAATACCACCACCTCCACTAGTGTCTACACTGGAGTTATTCTAAACTTACAGAAGATAACCATTAACCAAACAAGATCTGTCTGAGAAATTTCCATGCACCTAGATACTGCACAAATCAATAAATACTATTGCTCTTGATTTAGGTTAATAGAAATTCAATGCTCTAATATCTTATATTTGGTACCCTGTTTTGGTATTTTGTTACAAGGTAATATCTTTTGCAGGATTTCTTTTTTTTTTTTTTAATTTTATTTATTTTTTCCCCCAAAGCCCCAGTAGATAGTTGCATGTCATAGCTGTACATCCTTCTAGCCGCTGTATGCAGGACGCGGCCTCAGCATGGCTGGAGAAGCGGTGCATCGGTGCGCACCTGGGATCCGAACCCGGGCCGCCAGCAGTGGAGTGTGCGCACTTAACCGCTAAGCCACGGGGCCGGGCCTTTTTTTTTTTTGTTTTTAAATTTTGCAGGATTTCTAACTTTAAGTGGGAACTGACAAACAGTATTTGTTTCTTAGGGCCAATGATGCTGGAATAGGGACTGACAAAGACGGAGAAAGTCTCAAATTTGTAAAACTCAAGATGAATCAAATTAAGCATACACATTCCTCAGGATAAAACTACATAGGATCCCTAGTGTCCAGTACAACATGTAAACAACTGTCTTAAAAAAATACCCAAATCATTCAATATCAATGTGGCCTATCATCAAATGGTAAAGAGTCTGTCACCCCCCAGCCCAAAAGGGCATGCACAGTACATCTCAAAGCACATAGCTAGAGGGAAGTTACTGCCCTGGGCGAGCATCTGGAGTTTCAAAAGTCCATCACATTTCTAGCAGGGGGAAGGGAAAACAATGCCAACTGTAACACAAACTTAAGACTAATGAATCAATAGCTAACAAAATCAGGGCAATAGACTACGAAGGAATCCTCAACCCACATAAACAGCATTTCAAAAGGTCACTAAGTAAATTTGGGGTTTTTTTTGTTTGTTTTTTAGTTTTAGTTTTTCGCCTTCCTCTGAAGCATCAGGGATTGGAGGCAGGATGCAGGTTACAGGAACTGGTGGACCAATGGTCTGATTCAGTATGGCAAGTCCTATGTTCCTATAATAAAGGGGAAATTACAGCGTATCACTTTGTATGCACAAAGATCCAGGGACACATGCACTCTCTCTCTCAAGGGCTCTGAATTTTCATCAATAAAAAAGTATTTAACAAAGGTCAAGTTCTACACCAAAGCCAGGAAAGTATGGAAAATCCAACAGCAGTCAAGACAGGGATCACTAATAAGCAAAGACTCATGTGATAAACTATGCACCATGCCTGTCACCTGAGAGGTGTATGACGCCTTAAGCATCCTTCCCCTACTTGCACTCGTGTCAAGCAGGCAGAAAGGAAAATGCTGACAAAGCAAAACCAGAGAGCTGGCACATCTAAGTCCACGCGTAAAATGAAAAATGGAGAATTTAGCAATCTTTGCAAACTAGAAAGCTAGAAGGATTAGAAAAACAGAAAATTCTACTAGCCATGCTTCTGTATTTTTCCTATCATGCCCAGTAGAAAGTTCTTTGACGGCAGAGATTGTTTCTCACTCACTCTTTGTATCTACGGCAAAGGCATATCCACCATGTCTTGCCAAGAGCAGGCTTCCCATAAACACCCACTGATGAATGAGAGAAATTCTTTTTCCAATGAAGCTTCATAATGGAAACTTGAACTGTATTAAATCCACATTAAATGTACTCAAAATGGAGTGAAATTTAAGATTTTACTTTATATTCAAGGCTTGCAAAACATACCAGCCATAAAAGTGTTTTATGTCAGGTGCTATTTTAATCAAAACAGCTTCTTAAGTTTTAAATTTGAAAACTCTCATGAGCTAATCCCAAGATGAGCAACTCAGTAAATCCAGCCACTCCTGTGGCAAAGCCAGCCTTTATTAACGGGATCTGTTAGGAGAAGCTGAGCTGCCGCCAAGCAAGTGCTAATAACCTCATTACCCACTGGGGGCCATGCAGACAGGATGGTGTTGAATCCAGACAAAGGATGCAAAAAACTAGTTTCAGGATTTTGAAATGAAGGCTTTGAAAAAGTAGAGATGCAATTAAAATATGGTAACATCCTATTAAGTACAAACCAAATGAATGTGACTATGACATACACAGGTATATATACATACATATGTATTTTTTCCTCTCCCTCCAAACAGTGCTACTGTGAATGATCGGTAACTTTTGAATCCTTCTTGCCATAAACCACTAAATTTGATTTTTTTAAAACACAGCTTCACTTACTATCTCAAACAAGTTAAGAATATCTTGATCACTGGAAAACATTTCTATGTGATTTCTCCCCTTTTTTTTTGTTTCCCATGGGTTACACAATTTAAAACTCACTTAACAAAATCGATGTATTGATTTACTCTCTCCACATTAACACTTCCTGAGTGATTATAATGAACCCGCTCTTTTTTCCTCTTGAAAACATGGGTTTCCTTTACATTAATATTACATTAATAACCTCCCAGAGAACCAGTGAAAGCATAAAAATAAGATGGGATAAACAGAGTTTTACCTGACTCACCCATTATCCTACTGAGAGCAGCGTTTCTGGTGGGTGATTCGTCAAGGCCCTCAATCCCACTGTAGAGAGAATGGGAAATTCTTCGTTCTCTATCGTCCAACACCGTTTCAATGGGCAGCTCAGGTCCAGAGGGGCTCCCAGGTGACTTTAGCTGTAGCGAAAGGAGGAACAAGGGAAAATCAGTACTGGAGGCCCACTAGCAGCATGGGGGAATTATAACAACTCGCCCAAGGCCTGCATCCAACTGGGTACCAAATGAACTAGAACTTTTCACCCTGTACCAAAATAATTTGTGATGACAGCTCTGCCTAATGACCAACTTTCTGTGCCACTTTACACTGTGCCTCCCATGAAGTTCTGTCAGATTTTAACCACTGGAGGAAAAATATGTATATTAAAAGCTTTTTTTTTTTCAAACTTAGCTTGTTGCTTATTTTTTCAATCTGACCGTTAGTATCTGCTGAAGTCAATTTAAGTTATGGTTTAATTCAGAATTCTTTATGAGATGTTGCTCTGCACAGGGCATGCTTTATCAGAATGGAAGTTGCAATTTAGCTATACTTTTTACACATATCATATGTAAATACACCTAACAATGAGCACACATTTGTGTGTGTGCTGGTAGAATGCCTACCTCTTCTACAAGACCTAAAAGACCACTTGTCAGCTCATGTGTCTTGAAAAATACACTGAGCTTAAATTTCTTCTGCTAGAAATTAGGACTAACCATCCTATTCTCTTATTCTAAGTATGAGATAGTGAGTAACTGAGAGAAGCACTTTAATAGTATACAAACAACATAGAAGTAAGGACCAAATATTCCAATGCAGCAGGCAAAGAGGCGTATTTCATAAACATATACAATCTACTACATAAGCCAAGAATACAGGACAATCTCTAACACCATAAATGAAAATAGTATGTGGCATTCTTTAAAACAGCTGTGCCTTATTAGTCATATTCTTAATAAAAATAATAAGAATAAGGAACCTATGTTAGTAAGGCCTTGAAACAAACCCACTTCAAGGAGGAACAAAGCACACTTAACTACAATCCTCCAACGTGGGCTCTGGGATTAACCCCATGGACAAGTATCTTGTGATGCCTTGGTGCTGGCTTGCAGTCAGAGGCACAGAGGGCTGAGGGGTTGGGGGTCAGGGGAGGTGGGGGCACAGTACAACACAGCAAAGTGGGAGAGAAGACAGCACATTCCAAACAGATGAAACCACAACTGTGGTGGTGCCTGCATCTGAACAAATTATTATTTCTGTTAGAAGCTATCATCTGTTTAATATAAATGAGATATTTAATGAAGCTCCGAACTGTAGACTTATCTCTCCCAGTTTGATAAGCATTGGAGAGATTTAATGCATTGAAGGGTCAACACAATTACAATTGGAGGCCCGTCAAACTGCAGGAGAATAATAAACTTGCAGTGCTGGCGAATTAGACTCACTAAGGTTTAAATTGTGAAATGAGGATTTGTTTTATGAGTTTTTTTTACATTGTAGATTACAACTGACAGCTTTACTGAAAAGTAAATTAAATATTCAAGGTCTCTGATGTAAAAAGTAAAAGAATATTTTCTGAAAGAATACTATCCTAAATGCCAAGGTACTCTGGGGAGGAAAAAAACAGAAACAAGCAACATGAAGACCCTATACATTTAAGAACAAATATGTCTGAATTTTTTAGATGAGCACATACATTAAAGAAATAGAATACGCGCTACTCAAGTCTCTATACACAAGACCTTCTTCCTATACAATAATTCATTTTATCATAAGACAGACAACATATCCTCAAGTTTGCTTAACAAACATATTTAATTGAACCATATAACTCTGCAATTTCCTAGATGATAAAATCTTTATAAAACTCCTTCAAGAAAAAAATCCCTAAATATCCCAAGAGGCTATTTTAGAATTTTATGAAGTCAAATAAAAATTCCATTTGACAAATAGCACATGCAGGCTTTCTAGAGGAAAACAATAAGATGCCTGTTTAGAAAGAACCTCGCACTGGAGCGTTTTCCTGGGAAAGAGTCTACACCTCCCCTACCTCCTAACCACGTCTAATTTGCATCTCAAAAGACAGATTTAAATGAAGACATCAATAGCCTACTACATAAATATTTAACAGAAGACACAATGCTTTTTAATTTCTTTTAAAAAAATCTGATTGGGGTACACAGTTTTGTTTTAAATCTTTTGATGATTTTTTTTGTTGCAAGAAAACGAGTTTAAGAAAGAGAAATGTGTCCGAGTGGCGCCGCGGCAGCCGAGAGGAAGAGAGGCAGAGCAGGGCGGTTCTGGAGCAGCCAAGCCTTTCTGCGACTGGCTGCTCCCAGGCCGGTCCAGTCCCCTGAGATAAACCCTATCAAAATGATGCTTCATCAGAAGAAGAAACCAAAGTAAAAGAACTGTAATTTTCACTTTGTTGTTTGTTGTCTGAAGTGCAAAAATGCTCATCAATCCAAATTCAGTCAGTCCTGGGGAGGTGGTTTGTGCTGACCTCCTCAGCTCCATCTCTAGGAAAATAGGAAAGCCTTTCCACTTATTCAAGAAAAAATAGCTCTGGGTTGCAGCAAGTAACTCATATTGGTGGCAGTGTAAAGCCATGTAGTCTTTTTCTAAAGTAATGTGGAAATGTTTATCACAGGTCAAAAAATCTCTCATACTCTTTGACCAGGACATTTACTTCACTTTGTGGTCATTATCCTAAGGAAATAATAAGCTAAGTGAATAATACATATTTATGGGAATCAATATTTGTCACAACTTTATTTACAAATGTATAAAAATTGGGAATTACCTCAATATCTAAAAACAATGTCAATATAGTATGCTCTTAAAAAAGATATTCAAATGACCATATATTGCTTTTATAACCAGAAAATAATAAATACTATTTAATAACAAAAAACTGGGTATTTTCCAATGAATATGCTTTTCATTATAAACTTGGCCTACTCTTCTTTTCTTAGGAAAAGTTAAAATCTTGGTTTCTTTTAAAAAGTTAATACAATTTCTGTGAGGTTTAGTAAAATCTCATGTTGTTACAAGTATGCACTAGTGGCTCAAATGATGTCTTTCACATAAAGAAAATGTATCCCACCATCTCTATTATAAACATTGAAAAGTTGGCAGAGATGTGGCCCTAATTCCCTTTAGCAAACTTAAAACTGGGTCCTAGTTAGTAACTGGCATGATCTCATTATTTGATATTTCAGTCTTTATGGAATTAGTCTATTTTAGCCCCAATGCCTGGCACAGAGCAGGCATTGGGTGAATAATTGGATGAAAAAATTCATTTCTAAGTGAATGACTCAGATTTTCCTTAAAATGGTTTCGAGAACTTACACATACTAGGCCATGTGAAAGAAGGCCTTGAAAGCCGAGGGCACAGCATAATGTTGAAATTAAAAGAAATTTGACCTAGATTACAATTACATATTGTATAATCCAAAGAACAGGTCAACACAAAGCAATAAATAAAAGACAGAGTTTAGCTTTGGAGAAGAGTGGCTGGAGCCTCAGGGTCCAGTTTCAGGTTCTGCTTGCACGCAGCACCACATTTAATTTCCTTCACATCCCCACGCGAGCGACAGCAAGGATCAGAGAGGTGACGTCAGCTCCCCGAGTCATTCTGCCTGCATGTGGCAGACCCGAAATGTAACTTACTCTGTCTGATGCCAAAGCCCATGCTTTTATTGTATGCTACTTCCCAACACAACCAGAATTTAAACTGCCCAAACAACACAGTCACAGTCAATTAGACCCACTCGCATGCATAAAGAGGAATGGACACCTCGCTTCTAAATTCCTTTGCCACTACCTTGGCCTTGCAGCCATTAAGCAAATCATTTGACCTCTGTGCATTTATTTCTTAATACATGAAATGAAGAGAATCATAAGTGATACCTTAGGCCCCTTCCTACTCTAAAATAGCCTTCTAATTCTAAAAGGATTAAACCTAGAGAGAGAATTCATTTTAAAGTAGTCCTGATGACTAAATCTTTGACCCCTTCCTATGGGGCCCAAGCCAAAAGCTCACCTTTTGTCACATTCTCCATTGCTACTAAGACAAGGCTTTCTAGGAAGTCACGTCTACATAGACGTGTTGAACAACGGAACGACTGGAAGCTATGTGAAATTACAGTAATTTCTACAAATATTAATTTTTTTAGAATATTTAAAATCAGCATAATTCTCATATATAGGTTATTTTCAATACTCCAGGAATGATGTCAGCTGTTTACCCCCATTTCCCTCCACTCTACTTCCAAGTCCTCCACAAACTCTTCCTTTGTGGTAAGTGATACCAACGTTTCTGCCTCTTGCTTTATGTATTCTTTCCAATGGAAAAGAATGCTAGGACTTAAGGAATTTTTCTCCAAAATGGTTAATCCATCTTTCAGGAGCACAACACAAGGGGATGCCATTTCTTTCTTTCTTTTTTTTTTTTTAAAGAAACAATTACTGCTTATGAAATGTTTTTAAATGTACTTAAGGGCATTAGAGCTAAAGAAAGCTAAGGAAATTCAAAATCATGGCCAAAAAAAATTCATTTTGTTACCTTGTCTGATGATTTCCTTAGAACTTTAGTCTCCGATAGTAACTAAATTATTTTTTCCTTCTAAAAATGCCAGACTCTCCAGGATTACCTCCCTCGTCGTTCAGTCCACGTTTGAGTGACAGGCCCTAGGTTGGAGGCCAGGGAGGGTGAGAGACAGGAACACGGCAGGTGGACGAGGTCCCAGCCATCTCAGAATTTACAGTTCCCACGAAAGAAAACGAAAGAGGAAAGCATGACAGTGAGAGAGTGCTGAGCGAAGGTAAGTGCATGGGACTATGGAAACACTTTAGAGAGAGAAACTAAAATGTAAAGGCTGTCTGTGCTAGGACAAGGGGCAGAACGGACTCGTGTGGGAAACCTGGAGACGACAGAGAGCATCATGCATCTGAGAAGTCGTAGGCAGAGCAGAGTAGCTAGAGCAGAGACTGCACAGGGACAGGCTGGAGGGGCAGAGATGCCAGTCCTTGCACGTCCTAGTGCGCCATGTGATGGAGACTGGCATCTATCCTGGACAGGATGGAAGGCCCCTAAGGGATTTCAGCAGGGAGTGACACGATCAATTTGTTTTGTAGAAATATCTGCCTCACTGCAGGGTAGAGAATGGATTGAGAGAGAAATCCTGATTGCAGAGAAATCCTTCAAGGAGCCGCAGCAGTGAGCCTGGTGAGATGACGCGGCCTGAAATCAGACAACGACAGAGGCGATGGACAAAAGTGGGTTGAGAAGGGAGAGATTCTGGAAGCAGAAGCTACAGGGATAGTAAAGGCATTTGAGAGGCCAAGAGTGATCCCAGAGCTCCTGCTTCTACAACAAAGGAATGGTGGTGCCACTCACAGGGAGAAGCGGGAATGAGGGTGGGTGAAGCGGCTCAAGGAGGAACTGGTTTTGGAGGAAAAAGCATAAATAAAGTTTTGGGCATCTTGTGAACTAGATGCCTGAGAGCCATGGCAGTGGATATTTCCACGGGCAGTTGCATAGAAGGATCTGGAACTAGAACAGAGTTCTGAGCTGGAAACAGACTTACGGGATTCATCATTACATAGGCGGCATCTGAAGACCAGGGAATGAAGTCATCTAGGGTGCTGCCAGAGTCAGAGGCAACAGCCCAGGAAGAGCCTTGAGAAACACTAACAATAAAAGAACAGGCAGAAAAGAGGCACCTTAGGGGAGAGAGAAGAGCCAGGGTGAAGTAGGAGAAAAATGGTGAGAAATGATTCAAGAATGAGGTGGTGTTCAAAGATTTCTGCAAGGTCAAGCAAAACAGACTGAGAAATGTCTTCCAGAGGATGTCTCGAATGTGCTGTACAGGAATAAATACCAGTGAAATGTAGGGCAAGAGGATACATAGCATGGAGAGTTGATAAGTAATTTCTAAAACAAAATGTTAATATACAGCACTTACCACAAATAAGGGCAAGGAAAGATGTGAAAAAGTACCAAAGATTTTGTTTTGCAAATTCTCATCTTCTCTAGCTTAAAATTGAGTATGCAAACCCTTGATTTAAAGATGAGTTACTAAAATATAGTTTTGTGATACTGTCCAAGACTGGACTACACAGCTGACTAACAGACCCAGAAGGAGAGAAGTCAAGCACATTATTTTGGCTTGAGGTTCATTCGTGACAAGATCCCTCTGCTTATGTCAATATTTACTGTAACATAATTTACACATACCCTTCCCGTAATTCAGGGAGATGTTCTTGCAAAGGTAATATATAAAATAAAGTACAACAGCAGCACAATCACGTCTCATGCCTTATGGGAAGCTGCACTGAGCTCTCCCGTCTTCATATAAGTCTTTAGTTAAACCCTGTCAGTACAAAAGGCTTCTCACTAGTATTACAAAGAAAGCACAGTGCTCGAGATCAGATTGTTTTGATGTAATCGTTTTATAAGCTTCCTCTATCCTAAGAAATAGTAATAACCAGCAACGTATGAAAATGATACCATAAGGAATCTTGAATATTAAAGTCTATTACTGTCTACTGCAGCTGTTCCCCTACTTAAATCATTTTCATTCACATAAATTCATATGCAGAAGTGAATGAGACACAGAGATATTTCAGTGGGATTCCAATTTCATGTCTTTTACGGGACAACCGGGAACAGACCAGTGCTTTTATCAAAACGTTTTCCGGCTGGTACAGGTTTGCTTCGCTACTGTTTGAGGAACAAGAGGGAATAAGCTGAATCAGATGAAAGCACGTTTGGATTCAGGATGCTGATCTTCAGCACATTTCTTACATTTTAAGTCCCCCTGTAACACTCAATGCTTTCCTCTGAAGAAAACTTGAAGGTGTTACAAATTTTAGTTTGTTTCTAAAGAGACTAAGAGTATGATATATTGTCCAGTAGAATGTAAGTTCTACGAGGGAAAGAACCCCATCTGTTTTATGCACCACCGTATCCCCAGGATCTAACATATTTTCTGAACATAGTGGATGCTCAGTAACAATCTGTCGAATGAATACTGTCCCAGGGGACGTGAAATTATTCACTTTCAGAAAAAGACCCAATAAAGACTAATGTGTCTTGTAAACTTACTGTTGAGAATTTTTTATTGTAGGACTTTGCAGAACTTGCATTAAAAGATCAGTTACTGATTTGGCAACCAATAAAAACTATTATTCAAGAAAACCAATCTAGCAGCCTGCTCTGAGGGATCAGCATTTACAGTTTTCTTACACAAGTCAATGTTTGTGTGTCCCACTCTCTTCCACTCTGAGATTTTTAGTTACAGTTACATTGTTCTCTTGTTGTTGTGGAAATTAATTTGTTAATTATTGTTAACTCATTCTCCACTTGGAAAATAAAAACAATATTAAAAAAAACAATGGTCAATAACCTTTCAAAAACTAATCACCTCTAGATCAACTACCCACTGAGGTCAAGAGTACATTTTTGTTGCAAAATCTGATTGTATTATAGGATTGCATGAATTATCATCACAATCTGAAAAGCTTGCTTTATATCTTTATTAAATATAGATTTTAAAATTAAGAAAAACACAATTTAGATACAATTTTAAGTTTGTATGATTTGCTAGTAATTTTCTCCCAGTTGATCTAAAAATGTGGGGATGTGAGCATCAATAAAACCAAAAGCAACAAACCTTACACTTGCAAGAAGCTTTGCTCTGTAAATTATCAAGTCCCACCTACTTTCTATAGATGGCACATAATTTATAACAGATCCATAAAATTTGGTTTTCTCCAGGTTCCAATATTAATTATCAAATATATATATAATTTCTTTTAGGGGGCCAGCCCCATGGCCTAGTGGTTAAGTTTAGCACTCTCCTCTTCAGCGGCCCAGGTTCAGTTCCCAGGCAGGGACCTACACCACTACTCAGCAACCATGCTGTGGCGGCAACTCACATAAAAAGTAGAGGAAGATGGGGACAGACGTTAGCTCAGGGCAAATCTTCCTCAAGCAAAAAGAGGAAGATTGGCAACGGATGTTAGCTCAGAAAAAAAAAAAAAATATATATATATATATATAATTTCCTTTAGATTTTCAAATGCCATGCTATACAAGAAAGTATGTTTCCACTTAATACGCTTTTACTTATTTGGGAAAATAGATGATTATACCCTCAGGAGAGGACACCCTGCCTACTCACTCCTAATTACCTATTGCAGTGTATATGTAGACCCACTATGCACCACACAATAGACACCACTGAGAAAGTAGGCACTCAAGGGAAAAACTCTACCCCAGTGAAGGACAAAGGGAGATGGGTGATGGAGGGATGCTTACACTTGTGACAATGCCACAGGAGAAACAGACTCTCCCGTTAGGGACTTTGTAAGAGGATCCCGTTTTAAATAAAGAAAACGAACAAGCAATTGTTTCATTGTTTCTCCCTCCCACGTACAACCCCGCTGAAGCTGAATAGAAGAGAAACTGTTGGCTCTGGGCAGGAAAATGTGGCCTTGTTTTCAAGAAGAGATCCCAGCTAAAGGTGCCTTTAAGATGCCAGTGTTATCTGCTGGGTTGGCAACAGAAATACTAATGCATGCTCAGGAATATTTTGACCACAGAATTAAGAAAATAAATCACAATCCACTGACAACACAATAAAACTCTAGCAAGCAAAGATAATTTATAGTCTTTTGAGGTAAAGTCCCAGGGCCTGCATTCTCTGTTCAATGTTAGGACAGAAACTTAGTCTTATTACAATTTCAAATGCTAGCGTCTTTTGTCTTTTTATTTTGTATTCTTTACCTCATTGCACTTGCTGATTCGCCTTGCGACAATAAGCTGGATCATTCCTCGCTTGTTCCCTTCGGTGGACATAGACCTTCTGAGGGTTTCCATGGCGTCTTGGTTCGTCTTGCCCAACAGGGATTCGCCATTCACTGCTATCAGTTGATCATTCACCCGAAGCCTTCCATCCTGGGAAGAAAGCAGGTAAAAATAAGTGCTATTAAATAATCTGTTATAAAAGAAATTGCTTTTCCTTTTGTTAAAAAAATAAAGACAGCAACCAAAAAAAAAAACAGCTTTAATCCTAATGGATTATGCCCAATTGAGCACCAGCATAATAATGTCTAAGCAGTCATTGCAGCCTGTGTCTATTTCAATCATTTATACGTTTGTAAATCAAGTCATTATCATAATCTGTTTACCAAAATAGCATACTAATTCAAAGGACACAAAGTGATTACTTTCTTGCTTCCAGAGACACCCATAGAGGTTATTTACAACCCAAGACATGCAGAAGCTCAAGGCTATTAGACAAGTGCAGAGAAGTGCCCCCTTAACCAACAGCCAGGAAATGTTCTCTAGACTGGGAAATAGGATAATTGACCCACAGGCAGGAGAGGGGAGGGGAGAAGATTAACCTTTACTGTGTGGCAGCTCTGTGCCAGAACCCAAGCTCAGTCTTTGCATAGATTATCTTCATTGAGCCAGAATGACTGTGGGTTGTAAATTCTGAGACAAAACATGGGGAGCTGAAGCTACAGATTCCACCCCAAAACGAGAAATGACAGAGATTTCTGCTAGTTGTTTGATCACGGATGAGGTGTTTGAGAAAACATTTGTTAAATGTTATAGGGTACCAGAATACGCTGCCCCAAAATATGCCACACCGGCACAGGATTATTTTGAGCTGAAGGCAACTGAGAAATGGCAGACACGGAGGAGCTCGCTGTCCTCTTCCTGGCTAAACGCAAGGCATGAACTTCTCTTTTATGAAAGTGTCCCCTCTCCTCTCCCAAACCAGGAAGGGGAGCCCCTCATCACCAGAGGCAGAGATGGCACTAAGATTAGTCTGCACAAACAAACCTTACAAAATCAACTTTATCTGCCATTAGTTTCCTCCATATATTTACCTTCCCACATTTTACCTCCCCCAGCCCAGATGCCTTGTCCTTGTCTAATCCCTGCACAATTCCTCGCCCTCTGCTAAACGGTATATAAGCTTCCAAGTCTAACCACGTCTTTAGGTTTTCACATCTTTTCTGTGGAGCCCCCTTATGCGTAAAATTAAAAATATTAACATCAATAAAATTTGTAAACTTTTTCTCCTGTTAATCTGTCTTTTGTCAGTTTAATTCACAGGCTGCAGAAACAGAATCTAAGAGGGTCAAGTTTTTCCTCCCTTACAGTGTATACGTTTCCAAAATAGGAATAAGATTGGAATTCAATATTTTTGCTACTGGGCATAAGACTGATAAAGCTGACATCTGCTTACTTTAGAGGCTGCTCCTCCATTAATAATGGACTTGACAAAGATTCCCAGATCCGCGTGGTTCTCTTTTGACCGGTTACCTTTGACACTGACACCGAGACCGGCTGATCCTGAATCATTAAGTGGAACTTCAAATGTCAGAAATTCCCTGGTGCCATCAGGCGTGAGAACAATATCCTCGTCTTCTGCTTTCTAATAGGAAACAAAATTGCATAGCAGATTATATTCCAATGTTTCTTTCTCAGTTATTTTTAAAGACTGCTAATGAGCAGTTCTTTCATCAGAACAGGCACAGCATTTCCACCAAAGTTCCATGAAAAGATCCATGATAACAGGGCATCTGCACCCCTCCAGATGATTCCTGGAACCAGCTGTAATATTTTTATGCAGCACTTGTTTCAATATTGAAACAAAACCAAACCAGATTCTGAGAAATATAGGAGAAAACCGCAGCAGAAGGACTGAAGATACATAAACTCCTAGAGTTTTAGATTTTCTTTTTTTTGGTCTGTTTATACATTCTAAACCACAGGAGAAAAACAGTAACAGCAGGAATCAAAATAAATAAATATAACTCATTTATCTTTTTTTTTCATTAGGAATTTCCACTGTTATTAATAGCTTAGTGTTCACTAATGCTGTATCACTTTATTCACAAACAACAACATATCTTGATGATACACAGTCAGCAGAAAAAGGTATTCATTTTCAGAGAGCCACTAGAGAGTTTTAACCTTCAGCGCCTGTGAGAAAAAGTGGAGACGATCAACGACAGAGAAAAACTTTCAACCACACTGTACCATAGAGAATACAGCTGGTGACTATTACTCAAGCAATATTGTTTAATTAATTAGTTGCATAGGCAAGCTTTGATTTCATAATTGCAGTCATCAAGTGCATAAGAAGTGCATCAGAACACAACACATTTAAGATACACAAACTCTTGCCCATCTTCCTTAAAACAGCGAGGAAGAAACGAAAGCTTCAAGTAAAACCTGATGAAATGCAGGGGGATGACATATTCTGTCAGTAAAAACACTGTACGCCAGAGGAAGCAGTCTGCCCTCTGAGCTCCTTTTCAGGAGTGCCACCCACGGCCAAGCCTTCACCACCCAGATCTATCTCTACACCAGTCAGCTCCAAATAGGCAAGGCCAGAATTCTATTTCAAACTCAGTATGTCCAACCAGACGATGGACATGTGGCACAAGCCACACGGATCACAACAAAATGCCTCATCTGGTCCTGCAACCTCTTCCTCCTCCTCTTTTCTCAAGTTTGAAATATTTTTCCAGCATCCACCTAGTCACTCAAGCTGGAATCACCCAGTTATAATGGAAGAATGGTTAAACATATAATGGCATATCATTAGGCTGGATTACAACGCATCCTTTAAAGATCGTGCTTTGTAAGAATTTCCATTACACACATGCACGTGTGTACTGCAGAGGCTACTGCAGAGCAACGGAAACGTGGGTAGACTTCAATTTCTTTTCTTTGTATCTCAACACGTTTAAAATTTTCTAATAACCATCAAAATTAACATAACAATGATAAAATAATTTTAAAAGGAATGTGGGGATTTAACATGCAATCTCAGCTATCTCACTCAATTAAGTGAAATAATTTTTGGAAGTACAGCATTCATCAGTAAGAGATTATTTTTTTAGATTATAATACAAGAGATATGCTATTTTTAAATCTCCAAATCCATAATAATATGATTTGTAAAGTGATCTTTCTAATTTACTAATATTCAATATTAATATTTAGGGTAAGACATTCTTTGTGCCACCGCAAAGGAAAGCCTCATAGTTATTAGGACAACGCGTGTTTCAAAAAAATAAACTCACTAACATGTTAAAAACAGGAAAACTACCTAATAAAGAAAACAAAATAAGAACAACTTGTAAAGATACAGGGCAATAGCTGTGTGAACCATACAAACTAAACACATTTCAGTATCAAAGTTAAAATAAAGCCTAAACCTGTTCATTATGAAAACTTTCTTATATTTAAAATATTCCCAGAGAATAATTATAGCTCATATAAAACCAATGTATTGAGGAGAAATAAACATCAAATACTCATATCAAAATATTGATATCACATCACATATTCATTATGCAAAAGTAACTTTATATTCCTGTTTTGCTCTATAAACCTTTATTTTTATCCACATGGTTCAACATCATTACAGAATACTACATAACGACTTTGTGTGCGTGAACACAGCTACCTCCATAAAATCTGTTATAAAAACATAACGTACAGCTAAAGTTTGTATCTGAAATACAAAATAGGATCAAAACACACCACAGTCCCCTTCTACCTTAAATTCAGAAGTAACTGAAAGATGAAACTTACTCTCTGAATCAGTATTTATATTCCTGAGAAGGCTGCATTTGAAAAGACATGGGCACCCAAGATTAGTCCTCTGCTGAGCACACGTATGTCTGAACATTCAGTACATTCATTTGCCTCAAATCTGGAAAGTTCTTAATTGTCACTTACTGATTCAGATCTTCAGTTTGGCTTTTTAATGTTTACTGATTCTGACATTTCCATAACATTTTACCACGGCTTAAAATTCTCATTTTTCTCTACTTGAAAAACCAAGATACGGAGCTGACTGAATATATGAAGAAAAATTTTAATCAAGTTGGAATCATCTCCTGACATGCCCTACTCTGAACTTGTCTTAAAGGAGACTATATTCTCCATGGGAAAGTTTCATTTATTATGAAAACTGCAGGATGAGAATAATGTTCTTTTTCAGCTTTCTTATCAAGTCTCAAGTCATTATTATCATTAAAAACATTTAAGTGAGAGATTGTACTTTTCCTTTGATATTTCATTATTAATCCATTTGGCTCTTGACATAAGACTGAAATTAATGCCAGCTTTTAGAACTTAATTCTCTGGCAGCAAAACGTTAAAAAAATTTTTTGCTCTTCAAAAACCATTTTAAACGCTAGATTATAGAGAACTTTTACGAAGTCCTACTAGTGTGGGGTTTTCTTCATTCTGATACAAAAGAGAAGCCAATTTGCTATCATCTTGATTGTTATTCCATCCAGATTCTATACCTTATCAACCATTTCTTGAGTCAAATTCTTTCTACACACAGTAAATTTTCTTTAATTTGCTCCTCAAGCCACTTGCACGTGATCACGTCACTCAAGAACATGTCAGACCCCTTGTGAACATGCAGTGTATGTACACTCCAAGTGCTTTTTCCATCAATGCGACCTGTCACTTCTTCTTTGCCCATTACTCCATTGGCATTTCTGCCTTTTAATGCACAGAAAAACTGGGCAATTTCGCTTAGCATATTAGAAGCAGGAAACCTGCTGAATAGGCAGCATGGAAGCCATTTACTTCCCCTATCCTCAGAGCAGCAGCAAAGATGCACTCTTATATCTGCTGCGAGACAGAAAAACAGCCACAAGTGACCAGCACCAAGGCCCAGTTTTCCTTCTTCCCCAACAACAGTCCCAACAGCCGTGAGGACACAGCATAGGCCGTTCCGAGGCAGCAGTTAATCTGCAAAATGGGTAGATGTATAAGAGGGGAAATAAAAGTTGCTTATATCAAGCAGCAGAAAAATAATCACGAGAAGAGTAATCTCTGAGTCTTAATATACAAAAATTTTGACAAGTGCACACAATATTGTGGAGAGGCAAAAAAAAAATATGCTATGTATACATATCATACGAGGCCGTAAAATTATAGACGTGAGTCCAATAGCTGATTTGTAGCTCTGCAAAGAAACAAATGACACAGCACATATTTTATCACTTGTGAAATAATAAGATGTATATACATCTGATTCCTGCTAATATTTTGATCTTTGGCCCCAGTTCCTGACACAGAGTTCCCAAACCCCTTAGAATTTTCTGGGTGATGAGAGCATCTTTTGTTCTAATGAGGTGACTCTTGGTGAGCTCCTGGATAGGGTCTGGTCACCAGGAAGACCACCCCCATGATCAAAAGCTTGGAACTTTCAGCCCCACTCCCCATCCTCCAGGGAGGGGAAAAAAGCTGGAACTGGATAACTGATCACGCCTACATGATGAAGCCTCCATAAAAGTCCCCAAAGTATGGGGTTTGGAGACTTCCAGGTTGATGAATGCATCAACATGCCGGGAGGCTACCACATCTCAGCTCCACAAGAGCAATAGCTCCTGAGCTCAAGACCTTCAGACTGAGACCTACCTACTTCTTCATCTGGCTGTTAGTTTGTATCCTTTCAGACATCCTTTGTAATAAATCCACAACAGTAAGTAAACTGTTTTCCTGGGCTCTGTGAGTTGCTCTAACAAATTATGGAACCTAAAAAGAGGGTAGTGGGAACCTCTAATTTGTAGCCAAGTCAGACAGAAGTTTGGGTAACTTGGGGACCTCTATTTGCAACTGGCGTCTCCAGTGAGGGTCAATCCTTAACGTGTGGGGTCTACATCAACTCCAGGGAGTTAGTGTCAGAACTGCTTGTGTGGAAAACTCACACACCTGGTGTCATAAGTGTCGTGGGTGTGAGTAGAGAAATAACGGCAGAGAGGATTTTCCTGCTCATTGCTCCACTATAATTAATTGATTTCTCTCTCTCTCTTCTCCAGAGAGTCAATATCTTTATTGCACAAATCCTAATAAATTAATAACCAAAAGATAAACACTCTCAGTAACAAATGGGAAAGGGATGTGAACGAGCAATTCATTCAAGAAAGATGAGTGGACCCAAAAATAAGTAAAAGGTTCAACCAACTTGCAACCAAAGACATGCAATCAACAAAAGTTATCAAATTGCTGGAAAAAGAGAAAGAAAAAAATTATGTTAAGTAATGATACCCAAGATGTAGAAGGTGTGATGAAGTGGGCCCTTTTTTGCACTCCTGATGAAAACATTAAAAAGTACAATATTTATGGAAGCCAATTTGACAATGCTTATCAAAAGCCTCTACATTTTGCTTATTGCTTAACCTAGAAATACTACTTTTAGTAACATATTATAAAAAACTAATTGTGATCATGAACAAAGGTGTAACTGTTAGGAGGTTCACAGCTTTAATTACCATAGCTAACAACTGAAAACAACCTACATGTATGATATTAGTGAGACAGAAAAACATTTATGACGAAGAAAAGGGGTTTTATCCTGCGGGCTTTTATAACTTGCAGTACTTCACCCATCAA